CAAAAATTATCATCGCGCAATTACAATTTAAGATTTATCAAAGGCCAAAGTAATGCAATACCCGATCCATCGTAATCTACGACGAATGCCTGTCGCAAATTATTAAACATACGCGACCGTACGTCAATTCCAACGTTTATATTTACCAGTAGACTTAACAACGGAGGGAAGAGGAGGCGTGCATCGAAGCAAGGGAGAAAGAGTGATGACTGCGGCGTACAAAGACGTTCAGGGGATGACGGGAGGTTGGGGGGAGGGAGAGAAAGGCAAGGGGATGTGTCTGGCTGATGGAGCTTGAAACTGAATTAACCATCCCCGCCCGAGGGCCGTGATCTCGTCGCAACCTCATCTCGGGGTCCCATTATATTTGTCTTTGTATGCTAAACATTTTGCGGAATTATACGGAGAGGTAAGTTTCGAAGTGTTCTTTGTCCATCTTTCTCTCCCTTTGATGCGCTATCATCACCGTTTTCCAATCTTTTTTCGAGCTACGACCCCCTTTTTTGCAACAATTCGAATAACTGTGTGGTGTTCGACTCCCAAAGCGAAATTTCTCCTTGTCCTTTACGTAGACAAAATTTAGCATCGGTTAAAATGAGACGTCGATTTTAAATGAGCGAGAGAATTATTTCCACCACAATATGGCGATGTAATTAACAACATGGCGACGCGATACTAGCGCCGCGTGAATATCAAACTATTAATACCTACTCGACTTATCTATTCGCTTCTATCTTTTTGCTTTTTAAAATTATTTGATGATTGTTTGAAATTCGTCTGCGTGGAATTCAGGGAATCGCGTACGAAGCAAGAAGTGTAACATGTTTTTTCGAAACATTTGTAGTGAAATTTTTAAAAATTTCGATAAAGAAAGGATTTTTCCGACTTGTATCGGAAATTAAAACTTTAGATCGATAAAAGAAGTGAAAAATTCGCAGACTCATATCGAGAGCTCTGTTGCACAATCGATTAATCGGTGAGTACAAAGGGGACGGGTCTAAAAGGATGTGCAAGCACCGTGTCGAGTATCAAAAGATTCGTTCTAATCTCGCGAATACGACGTATTTGTACGTCAGTGTCGCGCTGTCTGCACTGTCATAAATCGATAACACCGTTTTACCACGTATTCTTATCGATAACAACGCAGTGCCCACGATAGCCGAATGTCGGCTTTCGTTTCTTCTTCGGCTAATATTATATCGGCAAATTTGCGGATCGGTGAAAATTCGCAAGAATACGTTTTCACGGCGATCCTCGTGCAAACACGTTGGTCAAAACTATTGCAAAAAATATATGTGCAAGTTTATTTTTTATTTTTGCAGTTCTTCGATTTTTCAAAAAAAAAAAATGGATTGCTAATTAAGCGCTGAATTATATTATTTTATTTGCATGATTTTGCAAGATTAATATGATGCAAGGAATAAATTTAAATTAGTTATTGGTTAATTATTGGAGGAGCATTTTGAAAAAATTCTATGGATTTTTGTTATAATTATTGTAATAATTTTTTTCCTTTTTTTTTTATTTCCGTTATTTGTCACATTAATTTAAATAAATTTTCGTTAGTGTCATGTCATTTGGGTTATTATTAAAAGGATTCATAACAATTCATAATAGAGTTATGCTTATATTATAAAAATATTGTTTTCTGGACTTTTTAAATTGTTTATTAAAATGGTCATTAATTTTTATGGTAGACAGAGTGCGAAATTTTCGGTTGACATTGTAGTAAACTTGGTTCCGTTCCTATGAATAATGAATAATGAATCATATGTAATTACTTCAAGTACAGGTAGCAAATGGTGCTTCCGGGTTCGAAATAATG